TTCTGTACATTTTAGTATCCACTGTCAAGTCAACAAAAAAACAAAATGAACTCCTCTGAGATTTTGACTGATTTGTATTGAAACCAGAGGTAATGGTCAGTTTAATTGAAATCCTCATAATATTAAAACTCTAACTCATAAGCATGGGTTGTATCATTCCATTTACTTCAGTCTTCTTAAGTAGTTTTCATTAAAGCATTTCAATTTTTTCCATGAGGTTCTTTTTCTAAAGTATTTTATGTAATTTAAAACCACTGTAAATGATAACCACTTTAAATTATTTGCTATGAATTTGCTACTGAGTCGCAGTGACACTGACAGAAAAGTGTTGAACTGCTAAACCTCAAGGTCAGTGGGTCAAACCCACCAGCTGCTCCAAGGGAGAAAGATGAGGCTGAGGCTACCTGCTCCCATACAGATTTACAACCTCAGAAACCCGTATATACTGTAGCTGTAAGTCAGAATTGAATTGATGGAAGTGGCTTGTTTGTTTGTTAATCAGTTTGCTAAGTCAAAAATATAATGGCTTGTTACAAATCAATTTTGTACCTGAAACTTTGCACAAGTCTCTTAATAATTCTAATAATTTATCGCTAATTTCTTTTGGGATTTTATGTAGGCAATTACATCATCTGTTTAAACTTTCAGATTTAGTTCTCCCTTTTTAATCCTTATATCTTTAATTTCTTTTTTTAAATATTGCTGGGCTGGCTGTACAATTCAACACAATGTTGAAGGGATGTGAATAAAACAGTCATCTTTATCTTGTTCCTGATCTTAGAAAGGATCTTTCAGTACTTCACCACTAAGTAGGATGTTTGTTGGAGAATTACTGTACGCATGCTTTTCAGCTGAAAGAAATTCTTCTATTTCTAACTTGCTAAGGTATTGTACCTCTCCTAAGTAAGTAAATATGGAAATTTTAAAATCTTTTTTATTCAGCTACTAAAATGGTTATATGACTTTGCTCCTTGATTAAAAGGAAATGTATAATAGGATTGTTTTGATGTTCAACAAACTACATTCTGAAGTCAAATCAACTTGGTTATATACTTATTTTATACATTGCTGGATTTGGCGTGATTTTCTTTTTTAATTTATATCTATTTGTGAGTCACACTGGTCTCTTAAATTTAAAGTCAAGATAATTCCATCTTCAGAGAATGAGCTGGGAAGCATTTCCTCTAATTTATTATCTATAATAGCTTGCAAAAATTGGAACTAATTTTTTCTTGGGATGTTTATTTGTAGATCATTAACTACCATCGATGTTTTACACTAATCTCAGGACTTCTCATGTTTTCTACCTCTTGATTTGATACTGGTAAGTGATTTTTTGCTGAAGAAATTTGTCCATTTTATCAACATTTTAAAAATCCATTAGGATAAAAATTGTTTGAATATTACCTTCTATTCCTTTTTATGTCTATAATTTCTGTAATTGTGTTCTTTTATTAATTCATAGTACATTTTAGTGATGTTTTCTCTCATTTTTCTTGGTCAGGTTCACTACCAGTTTCCCTAAAGTTTAAAATTTTACCTTTGTGAATTCTTTCTATTTTATCCTTCTTTGCTATATCAGTGAGATAAAATTGGGGCTTTATACTCTCATAAAGAAATATAGTCTTGGAGGCTCACACGGGGCAATGCTACCTTGTTCTATTGGTTAGCTGTGAGTTGGCATACACTCAATGGCAGTAAGTTTGGTTTTTGGTTTTATAACTGTATCTGTTTTATATTATACTTTGTTCTATTCTTTTTTAAAATGTTATAAATTCTTCAAGGGATACACAATTCCTTCTTTTTCATCTCTTTCTTTTTGTAAATGAAAGAGTTTTAAACAATAATTTCTTCCATAATGATATTCTAAAGGTACGTATATTATTATGTCATTCTTGTGTTTACATATAGTTATAAATTTTTTATAATTTCTATTGTAATTTATTTGCGCCTTATATAAACATCCACCATTTGTAATTTCTCAAGACATTTCTTGTGACGCTTTCTAATTTAATCACACTCTCATCTGAAATTATGGTCTCAGTAATACTAGTTCTAAAGTGAAATTATTTTACACAAACTTTATAATATAGAGGTAATCATTTTTTTAATGACACAGGGGTGCCTGGAAAAAATACTTTATATAAAACTCTTCAGTGATGCTGCTAGTTTCCCTACCTTTATTTCCAGGTGAAGGACCTGGCCAGTCTGGAAGGGGAAGTTGACTTCTGATGTTCTGAACTAGGTCTTTTCCGAGTTCTCCCCATAGGTCAGCCCAGTCTCTGGTGGTCAATATTTGCTATTGACCTTCTTTTTATCTTTCAGAACTCAATGAAGAGGGGAAATTATACGGAGGTGAGAGACTTTGTTTTCCAAGGGTTTTCCAATTTCCATGAACATCAGCTCACACTCTTTGTGGTGTTCCTCACCGTGTACGTGCTGACTCTGACCGGCAATGCCATCATTGTGAGCCTTATCCGTATTGACCATCACCTCCATACACCTATGTACTTCTTCTTAAGTGTCCTCTCCATTTCAGAGACTTTCTACTCCCTGGTCATTATCCCCCGTATGCTTGCATGCCTTGTAGGCTTTAGCCACTCCATCTCCCTGGAGGCCTGTGCGACTCAGCTCTTTTTCTTCCTTGGGTTTGCCATCACCAACTGCCTCCTCCTAGCATTAATGGGGTATGACCGCTATGTAGCCATCTGCAATCCTCTTCGTTACCCAATCATCATGAATTTTAGGGTCTGCATCATGCTGGCAACCTCAGTCTTTGTCGCAGGTTTCTCCCTTTCAGTGGTTCAAGCCGTGGCCACTTTCAGGTTGTCCTTTTGTCACACACTGATCCAACATTTCTTCTGTGAAGTAAGATCTGTGCTGGACCTGGCCTGTCATAAGCCAATTATCAATGATATCCTGACCTTAATTATCAGTCTTCTGGCGCTCACTGCCCCTTCCATCTTTATCTTCATCACTTATGTCCTTATTATATCTGCCATTCTCAAAATTGCCTCAGCTGAAGGTCGCAAGAAGACTTTCGCCACCTGTGCTTCCCATCTCACTGTGGTCATTTTGCACTATGGCTGTGCCTCCGTTGCGTACTTCAAACCCAGATCAGAGAACACAGAAGATCAGTATCAGTTCATCTCAATGACTTACACTGTCATAACGCCCTTTTTGAATCCTGTGGTGTACAGCCTGAGAAATAAAGAAGTCAAGGATGCACTACATAGAGTGATGGGTCAGAAATCACAATACTAATAGGAGAAACTACACAAATTATTTTGTGCAATTTCCGTATAAGAGATTATTAGTAAAGTTATAGATCCAGAGTTCAATCTGTTTTTGACATTCATGCATCACAGCTAGGAATAGGGTAAAAGAAACCTAAGGACTGGTCATTGATTCTCTCTTCCTCAGATTCCTTATTCATTTTATAAAACTACAAATTATTCTTTGTACTTGTTAGTAGATACCCATTCACTGTATACCAAGCAATCATTATGAGTTCAAAGTGTGATCAATTATTTATCTCATGCATCAATATAAAATGAGCAGTCTACTTTGTTAAAGTATAAACCCCAATATAAGCACCACTCAACTGAATCTTCTGTGAATCTAAACGGAATGTTTAAACAAGAAGTTATTAGAAAGGATATTATGAAGAGATCATTGTTTTAGTAAAATAAGAAAAGCAATAACATGAGTTTGAAATGAGCTTAAAATTTTCTCGTGTGTACATTTTAAAGTAGTCTATTGCAAGTATTCTTTCAGCTACATAGAGGGCTTCAATGAAAAAGAACCTGGGAATGAAAAGAGGACTTACATGGAAAAGACTCCAAATAAGAGAGAGTCAGGGAACTTCATTTATTTAAATAGAGCTCACAGGGCAGCCAGGGATTCTTCTCATTGGTCATAGGCCACGTAAGAAAGAAGGCCATGTGGGGCCAAAAGACATGCCTCCCTCTTGATTGGGAGTTTAGCCACAATTATATACAGGTTTGACAGAGGATATTTGCACCTGGATATTTATCTTTGCTGTAAATGTATCCATGGACATGGTAGATTGTAGAACATACCGCAGATAAAGCTTCTGAAACTTCCTAGACATAAGCAGACACCTTAAAGGAATGATTTTCTGGGTTTGAGAGTTCAGGCCCATAATTTTGGAGGATATCAAGGTCAATTTAGAATAATATAATCCACACAATAGTCTACATCCTATTTGTTAAGTATTTGGGGGCTTTAAAAGTTCGTGAGTGGCCATTTAAGGTGAAACATTTAGTCTCTTCATGACCAGAGGAAAGAAAATGATGAACATTTAAAATATATAGAAAGCATTAGCCATATGGATTAATGGCCATGTAGATATTAGTCTTCGTGACCCCAAGACTAGAAGGAATAGAAGATGGTACATAGATACCACTACAAATTGTTTGGAAAGGAATTGGATTAGACCCTGGAGAGAGTAGGAGAAAAATGTGGGAAAAACTTAAAATTGATAAACCTTAAGATAAAAGAAGACAAAATGGCAGAATTTACACAAGGACAAAATTAAGAGGGTTAGAAAAGAAAGTAGAATGGAAACAGACAGCAAAAACTGGGCTAGGGAAAAGCGATGTTATTTTGGTTATTGCAGTGAATGAAATGAAATGAAATGCACACGAATGGCTCCAATTAAGACTGGTGATTTGTTCTGCACACCTTCATCCAATTCACTGGGGTTTTTTTTTATTTCATGGAAAAATGGATTAAAAAGAATTGCAATTATTCCATGAACTTTTTGAAACCTGTCCCCCACCCCATATATCATACCTTTATGCACACATACATGCATGCGTGTATGTATACACGCATATCTACACACACACAAATTAACTTCAAAATTATGAAAGTGACCACACTTGCTAGTCAGATAAAGACTGGCACCACAAGAGACTGGTCCTTGGTTACTCTCTAATATGGACTTGAATGGACCCCTATGGTTCAATGAACAACAAAACAAGAATGAGGGAAACAATAACACTATTGAAATGGGTGTGCCTTAGGATAATTGACCATTTAGTATGAAGGAAACAGCATTTTACTAAGGACAAAGTTCTGATGGTTTAGGAAAGAAGCATAAATGAACCCAGGAAATATAAGGAGAAGCTAGGAAGGCTGATCTTACATTGAAGGGGTTGCAATGAGTGAGATGAAAAATTGTGTGTGCAACAATGATTGTAACATGGATGATGTGCTCTATACTCCTTCACCAAATTAACAATAAAAATAAAAGGTTGGAAAAAGAAATCAATTTGCAAAATAAATAAATAAAATCTCTTATGGATGGGATAAATAACAAGGACAGAAGTAGATAATACTACTAAGGAAACTGATTGTTTGAAGGGGGAAAAGAGCTATGAAATTGTCTACAAAGAAATAAAATTTAGAAGTAATTAGGGAGGTGGAAAGGGAAATTAGAGAGAGACTCAAATTTTTGATGAGAGAGTAGGGAAAAGAGGGAGGCAGAAGGAAATAAGCAAAGGCAATTTTAAATAGCTCTTTTCTGTGCTCACTTCGGCAGCACGTATACTAAAATTGGAACGATACAGAGAATATTAGCATGGACCCTGCACAAGGATAACACGCAAATTCATGAAGCATCCCATATTTTTACTTTAACACTCCCCTATCAGAGAAAGACAGATCACTGGGAAAGAAGCTCAGCAAAGAGGCCATAGAGCTAAACAATGTAATTAGACAACAGGGCCTGGTGGACATTTATAGAGCTTTCCATCCAAATGCAAAAGAATTCACATTTTTCTCAAGGCCACATGGATCTTTTTCAAGAATAGACCACATGGAGGACACAAGTCAAGCCTGAGTAAATTCAAACACATAGATATTATCCAGACATCTTTCTCAGATCACCACGCCGTAAACCTGGAGATTAATAGGAGGATGTCCAGAAAAGCAAGGGCAACCAATTGGAGGATGAACAACGATCCCCTGCGACATGAATGGGTACAGGCCCAGATTAGAGAGGATATTAGGAAGTTTCTAGAAACTAACGAGAACGAGAATACAACATATCAAAACTTATGGGACACTGCGAAGGCAGTTATCAGAGGTAGCTTGATATCATTAAATGCATACATGAAAAAAGAAGAGAGGCTTATGACATATACTTTAACACAAAACCTCCAACAACTAGAACAGAGTCAGCAGAAC